CGCAGATCAACTTTTTCTATGGAAGATTCCACGCAGGAGCCTATAACCCCGTCCCGGAGCCTGCAACGAACACCTGGCCGGATATCGTGAGTATGGACTTCATTTGAAGTAAAGTTTTGCAGGTCTACGTGCGCTGTCATTTGCGGGGAGGAGCTGTAACCTTGTTGCGTGGCGTCGGCAGGTTCCACGGATTCTGCTGTACCCAGTCCTTTAGTGTACCCCCAGGTACAGATCTCCCAATGTAAGGGAATCCGGATTCCGAAATCCGAGTAGTTTTTCTCGTGGAATCCGGAATCCGGGGAAATTTTGCCTGTGGAATCCATAATAATGGGCTTTGGAATCTGGAATCTCACTAACGATTGGAGTCCGGAATCCAAGCTCCATCATCAGAGACTGGAATTCAGTGCCTAGGATCCGGAATCCATGGCGTGGAATCTGAATCCAAGACAATCTTGGATTCCCTAACATATGAGTGGAGTAACAAGGGAAATATTTTTTGGCACTTCAATTGCCGGCTTCAATTTCCCCTTGAAAACTAACGCTCTCTCCTGCTCACAGAGTATTTGTTTTTCTTATTTCCACCCTCTTTCTCCAACACCATATCATCATGAGGTCAGTTGCGAATTCCATGCTACTTGTCGCAATGTTGATTGTATACGTTATATACCGTAAATGATCCAATGGACGCCCGCGGGCTGATTATTTAATTTTGAGGGTTCAAGGGGGGAGCAAATCTAAACATCGGTATCAGAATCCTCTCATAGGATCATTTTTGTCCTCGTTAGTCTTTCCTTACTTTCACCATAACATTAAACAAGTCACAATATGCTAACACTTATTAATTAGCCAGAAGTTGAGTATATTTAAATGATTTTGCACTTTTTTTGCCAATTCCTAGTATTTTGGAGTATTTTAGAGGGGAGGTGGGGGGGGGGGAGGGGAAAGTATCTGTAAGACAGGGGGCGTTTATTAGAGAGGGGCGTCTAACTTTGAGGAGGAGCGTTTAAGCGAGCTAGTTATGCGCATGCGTTGAAGCCTGTGGAAAGATCAATAGGGGCCAAAACATTTGTTGCTTGGTCAATAAATAAATGACAACTTTGTGCTGCAAAAATTAGACAAAATTGTTAATTATGGAAGCAGTTTTGTATTTTCAAAGGACCCCTGAAAAAGGAAGGCCGCGCCTTCCGAAGTATTGGTAACAACAATTATTATATTCCCGAATGTAAAATCAGCCTTGCTTCTTTTGCTCGATATTTTAATTTATAGCTGATTAGATCGTTTATATATTAGGACCCAGACCTGCTGTTTGGTAACGTTGGTCCTTGCAACCGAAATAGAATTTAAGCTACATTTGTTTCAAAAAGTGGAAGAAATTTATGCTCGTAATGACGAATATTTATGCCGAAAATCACTTTAGCATAATCTATCAAAGCCTATATACCCTCTAGAAACACTAGCTGTTAAATAAAGGTAAGTCGAATGTACCATAATATATTTATTGAATTATAGAACAGGATAAAGGGCTCACAGTTAGGGCCAAAGTTATCACAAACTTTAAAAAAAACTAGGTTTCAACGATAGAAACCAGAAAACTGATGGTAAAAACAACCTCCGAAAATAATTCTCGGCTATGAAACACCATTCCTTCGCATATAAAAAAGACGAGTAAATGTAAAACTGCAACATATTCAGCTGATTAAACCTGGTAACTGAATAGGAAATTTGACTCCAGTAAAAGAATGGAGACCTTTCTAGGCAGTAACTTTGAACAATCTGCCAATAGAAATAAAACTCATTAAACCTATTTCAATAATAAAAGTGTAAAAACTACATGAAATTGCCAATAGACACGTCTTAAGTGCTCTATCACATATGGTATAACAATGGATATATAGATTGACTACTGATTCCTGATGTTTTAGAAAAAACGTACGCGAATAATCCTCGGCTACGAATTTCCTACGCATATCAAAAAAAACGAGTAAATGTAAAACTACCATATATTTAACTGATTAAACCTAGTAACTGAACAGGGAATTTGACTCCTGTATAAGAATGGAGGCCTTTCAAGGCAGTAACTTTGAACAATCTGCCAGTAGCCAATAAAACTCAGTACAACTATATCAATAATAAAAGCGTAAAAACTACATTAAATTGTCAATAGACAAGTCTAAAGTGCCCGATCACAAATGGTATAACAATGGATATATAGATTGACTACTGATTCCTGATGTTTTAGAAAAAACGTACGCGAATAATCCTCGGCTATAAAATAGCCATCCTACGCATAGACGAGTAAATGTAAAACTACAACATAATAAAAAAAAATAAACCTTGTAACTAAATAGGGAATTTGGCTCCAGTATTAGAATGGAAACCTTGCTAGACAATAACTTTCAACAATCTGCCAATAGAAAAAATACTGCAACTATGTAAATAATAAAAGCGTAAAAAACTATATTAAATAGGCCATTTCCGAGTTCCCCCGGCCTCTTTTTCAAAACGAGGGTAGGTGTTCAGCCTTTGATATGGAAATCATTTTTCATTCTCATGTAAATAAAACTCATTTTCACAAGCAGGTTGTGCACCTAGCCTCATTTTGAAAGTGACGGTTTTTGGAACTCGGAAGTGGCCTTTTGCCAATAGAGACGCGTCTCAAGCGCCTTTGTAACATATGGCATAACATTATCGAAATAAAATTGATTCCTGATGTTCTTCAGGTGACTATTAAACAAGTTGCAAGTGCGCATGCACAAGCTTTGCACACGACTGACTAGTCGTCGTAAAATAAGCTACGAAAACTACCCGCACTAATCATTGGACTACCAAAAGATATAACTTATTATTATTGTCCCCAGTTAGCTTGTATCAGCTAAACAAATCGACACTAAACTAAAGTTGTTTAGTTATATTATTTAATAGAGAGCTTTAGATTTGAGGAAGAGGATGACCACAAGAACGACATTTCAATTTAAGTTTTCTCGCCTATTCTCTAAAAATAGACACCCTGGAAAGCTTCATCGTACTTTTTTCACCACAAAAGTTAGAAAGCTTATTTCCGTTGAAGGAGGTGAAGCCCTCTCCCGATCGCTCATAAATGGCATTATATTCGCGCTACAACTCGTAGTAAAATGGCATTCACATTGTGCCGTCAAAATGACGTCATAATTAGCATTGAGAAAATCTCGTCCTCGTCTTAGAATCTAAAGCTGTCTGATGGTAAAAACCATGTACGCGAATAATCCTCGGCAATGAAATAACCATCCTAAGCACATCAAACAGACGAGTAAATGTGAAATTTCAACATTTTAACCAATGCATAGAAATAAAACTACAACTATGTAAATATAAATAAAACTGTAAAAAATATAATTGCCAATAGACACGTCTCAAATGCCTCTGTCACATATGGCATAATAACGGAAATACAAATTGACTACTTATTCCTGATGTTCCTCAGGTGGTTCCTCAGGTGACTACGGAACAAGTTGCAAGTGCGCATGCACACGCTGTGCACACGACCGACTAGTCGTAAAACAAGCTACGAAAAGTTCACTAATCTTTGGACTACGAAAACATTAAAACTTGTTATTATTGTCCCCAATTAGCTTGTATAAGCTAAACAAATCGACACTAAATTAAAGTTCTTATGTTACGTTATTCAATAAAAGCATCACTGCCTCTTCCTCATTAAGAGTTTCTATCCTTGGGAGGAACGCTCCACTTCGTAATTGTGACACAAAGAAACTCAGTTCAACTTCAGATAAATAGGCACTGCTTCGCTGCTTTTGTCTTCGTAATATGCAGTACCTATACAACACAAATAGCAACGTTTTATAGATAGTCAAATTAAGACATTAAAGAAAGGTAGGGGCCAACTCTAGGTGTCCGTTTTACAGAGGTGTCCGTTAATAGAAAGTCGACTGTATTGATATAACACAAATTACCAGCATTGAAGCACACGTGCTGATAATTGATGTATCTGGTGAAAATGAGTTCTGTTGCATCTCATGTGCAATGAGATAACTATGAGATGACCACCCATCAAAAACGCCTAACTCATTTTTCCCCTAAGGGCACCATACCTGGACCCTCTCCTAAGCAACCAGCAAATCTGAGTATTTTGGGTGGTCGCTTAAGGTAGGTTCTACTGTACTGTTACAGTGAACTGAACGAACTCAAATGGGGCCACCGACACTTTGAAATGTAAAGAAATAATCTCCTGTTCCACTGCCTAAAGAACTATCAAAGTCAGACGTCTTTGTGAAAGGTTTGAACCCAGGCGTGATTTCATATGGGTGCCCACCATTTTTTCTAGCATTATATGCCATTTTTTTCAGTGCACGAATTTTTATCCGACGCTACTTCCTTGCAAGATTTTTTCTCTCTCAAAATCAGTCTGCAGAATATTTTTTCTGAAATCACCCATACCCTTCCCTCTCAAATGCCAAATGGTCAGCCTCTAAGTAGGTTGAGCATGATCGTCCCCGTCTGTAGTACTGAATGAATAGGACTGTTGTTGTTGACAGTGACAGACGTTTCGACAACCTGTGCGGTAGTCATCTTCAGAGTCTGAGTGAGTTGTATTATGTCAGTTAATGGTATAAAACTCTGGTTATTGACCTGATTGACCAATTAAGTAATTAAGTCACCATTTTATTGGTCGTCTGTCAGTTAAGCCGTGTTGTTATCGGCTATGAAGACTCGAAATGTCATTGGTGCGTTTCGATCCTTCTATTGTTACTGTTTAACAGTCGTTTATTGTTAGCCAAATTGGAGCGGCTATCCACCCATTCTCTCGTAGTTAGTTTTGTCTGAGTCCGTACTCACTCCTTTTTTTTTTTTTTTGATCGGAAGATTGATGTTAATTAACACCATCCAAGTTTGTTGCCCTTATAAAATTAAATGGCAGCAATAATTGCTTGTACGGGTAAAAATGATTTTTGCTAAAGTGCTTAATATGATCGAAGTTTTAAATACACCCAGAAATACCTTGCTATTTATTTGATGCCTTCAAACTCGAGCGTCACGTCGTCACCCATGAGAACAAACGGCGCCCAGTACTTCACTGCACTAAAGCGGTCAGATTTCCTCATGGATTTCATGGCGTCATTCAGAGCCTCACTGGCACTTCGTCTATCGACTAGTTGGCGGTAGAAAAGTTTCATGAACTCCATAGTCGCCTCGTCGTCAATCGCCCACAAGGACACCAAAACAGAACGAGCACCAGCAGCCAAAAATGCCCGTGCGATGCCTACCACACCCTCAGATTTGACCTCTCCCCAGGCACTATGACAGCAACTAAGTACCACAAGTCTTGCCCTAATCTGCGCATTTAAAACATCTTTCATAGTCAAGAGATAGTCCTCCCTGGCTGGATTCACGGATGAACGTGTTGTGTTTGGGGCCAAGGCAATTTCCCCTGTTTCCATTTTACCGTGAGCAGCAATGTGCACCAAAGCAACCGAGGAGATACGTTTTAAGACTTCACCTTTTGTTGCCTGCTTTCCAATGAGAGGTTCAGTTTGAAGTATTTCCCCAATCATCTGCACTTCCTTTTCGGCCCACTCTAACTGCTCTGGCGTTATTCCTTCATAAACTACCTCCTGTACCCACGGATCGCCGACGAGAAGAGCGCCTGTCTTGCTGTGCCAATCTGCTGGACAATTTTGGATTAATCGCAGACTAGAAAGGGAGGGAAGCAGACGAATTTTAAAAGTTTCGCAGAGGTACTTGGATTTCAAGTCCATGAAAGCAGCATAAGGCGCCAAACACAGAGGTCCTTGTGGAACAATAACCAACTCATCGCTATGGAGTAAGTCTCTTATAGGGTCTATAACAACATTATACAATGTTTGTAATGACTTTGTCTCAACACATTGCTGAGACTTTGGCTTACTGGATTTTTCTTCTGTTAGCTTTTTATCGCTTGGGTTCCTTAATGAGCGATCTTCACAGTTAACATCAGCTCTCACACCTATTTCCTCATGTACAGTCTCCAATAGAGACTGAAAATAGGTTGTGACGGGGATATTGATGTCGCTTCTTCTAGTTTTTATTTCTTGTCCTTTCTCGTTCACCCAGAGAACTATTCCTCCCTCGTTGATACCTATGAAAGCTGTATTTGATGGTAGGTATAAAAGAATGTCAGATGTCGTTACAGATAGCGTTCCTATTTCTGGAAATAACTCTTTGAACCCATACTTGAACTCCAGGAGATCGTTTAAAGCTTGTGCACGTCCACGATCAGCTGTTAAAAGTGCCTCGACGACTTTACCTTGCTTAAACTGCAGCTTCCATAGATTCGAATAACTAGCATCATACGTACTTCTTAGGCTTATCTTCCATTCGTCATTGGTTATGAGCTTTCCCCTGATATGGTCAAACACTACAGTACAGCTCTTATAAAAGTCAATGGCTTTCTGAAAATCTCCAAGACTGTGATAGGCGTTGCCAAGATTACCGTACGCTATTCCTTCTCCTGCCCTGTTTCCCACTTCTTTCGAAACTTTGAGGTGTCGTTCTTGGTACTCTATGGCTCTCTGGGAATCTCCAAGATTGCCATAGCCGATGCCAAGATTACAGTACGCTCTTCCTTCTCCTGCCCTGTCTCCCACTTCTCTCGAAATTTTGAGGTCTAGTTCCCAGTGCTCTATGGCTTTCTGAAAATCTCCTAGACTGTAATAGACGTTCCCAAGATTACCATACGCTCTTCCTTCTCCTGCCCTGTCACCTACTTCTTTCGAAATTTTGAGGTGTCGTTCAGAGTTCTCTATGGCCTTCTCGAAATCTCCAAGACTGTGATAGGCGTTGCCAAGATTACAGTACGCTGTTGCTTTGTCTGCCTTGTCTCCCACTTCTTTTGAAATTTTGAGTTGTCGTTTAAGGTACTCCATGGATTTCGGGAAGTCTTGAAGATTGGAATAGTCATTGCCAAGATTACCATACGCTTTTCCTTCTCCTGCCTTGTTTCCCACTTCTTTTGAAATTTTGAGGTGTCGTTCATGGTACTCTACGGCTTTCTGGAAATCTCCTAGACAGTAATAGGCGTTGCCAAGATTACAGTTCGCCTTTCCTTCTCCTGCCCTGTCTCCCACTTCTTTCGAAATTTTGAGGTGTCGTTCATGGAACTCTATGGCTTTCTGAAAATCTCCAAGACTGAAATAGACGTTGCCAAGATTACAGTACGATTTTCCTTCTCCTGTCTTCTTTCCCACTTCTTTCGAAATTTTGAGGTTACGTTCATGGTACTCAATGGCTTTCTGAAAATCTCCAAGTCTGTAATAGGCCCTGCCAAGATGACCATACGCTACTCCTTCTCCTTCCCTGTTTCCCACTTCTTTCGAAATTTGGAGGTGTCGTTCGTGGTACTCCTTGGCTTTTTGAAAATCCCCAAGACTTTGGTAGACGTTGCCAAGATCACCGTACGCTTGCCCTTCTTCTGCCTTGTCTTCCACTTCTTTCGAAATTTTGAGGTGTCGTTCATAGTACTCCATGGCTTTCCGGAAATCTCCAAGATTGTAATATGCCCTGCCAAGATTACTATGCGCTTTTCCTTCTCCTGTCCTGTCTCCCACTTCTTTCGAAATTTTGAGGTGTCGTTCATGGTGCTCTAAGGCTTTCTGAAAATCTCCAAGACTGTCGCAGGTGTTGCCAAGATTACTGTATGCTCTTCCCTCTTCTGCTCTGTCTCTCTCTTCTTTCGAAATTTTGAGGTGTCGTTCATGGTACTCTATGGCTTTGTGGAAATCTTCATTAACAGTGTGGTAGATCTCGCCAAGTATACAACATAAGTTTGCCTCTGTTTTCCTGTTTCCTAATATTCTGGCAAGTTCGAGGTAAAACAATAATTTTTCAATAACGTCTGGGTAATTAATGTTGGCAATATAGGAGTCTTCCACTTCTTGTCTTTTCTTCGCCATTTTAATGAAAATGTGCAGATGTGATAGTTGTGGCTGGTTGAAAAATTTATTTTAGCTCTCGGTCACACTTATAGCTAGCTTGGGTATTTCAGTTCTCCCTGAAAAAAAGTATAAATACTTTTGGTTTCATTTTATGGTTAAAGGTCAAGTAATACGGGCAACATTTTCGCACAACTTATCTCGCAACATTGTTACGTTGCAAGTTGAAAAGGGCTGTTGCCTGTATTACCATCTTCGCTCTCAACTTGTCACGCAACAAATTTTGATGTTGCAAGTTGCGGCTCTTAAAGAAAATCATGCGTTGTGATTGGTCAACAGTATGTTATTGTGTCAGCGAACAAAATGCCTTGTTGACCTTCTGTGGTTTCTTTTTGTACTTCCCTTATCAATGATGTGTTAAGGCTATGTAGTTGTTTTTTAAGACAGTTAAGTGAAATGATAAATTTTTGACATAACTCATCCAGAGCTCTTGACCTCCGTGGCTTGTTTTAATACTCTGGTCCACAAGTTTCCCACAGACATGGGTGCTTTTCAAGTCCTTTGCACAAATCTTTTCTTTGGGCCTCTGAAATTTTTTTACTAATAAACTCACAATCTTGGGTCTCAGCATTCTCAACCTCCACAACCTCGGCCATGTTTACTTCCTGCCCAAATCGGATATCTCCGAGGCAAAGCGCGCGCTTACTCACCATCTTTCCCGCGTTTTTGGTGCAGGAAAATTGACCAATCACAAGTGTTGTGTGAAGTGTAGCAAGCTGTGACGCAAATGATGAAATTGAAAGTTTGTTGCAAAAATCAGAACTTAGATCTGCTTTGCGCAACATATTGCCACAACTTGCAACATCGAAATTTGTTGCGTAACAAGTCGAGTGCGAGGGTGGTAATACAGGCAACAACGCTTTTCAACTTGCAGCGCAACAATGTCGCGCGACAAGTTGTGCGGAAATGTTGCCCGTATTACTTGACCTTAAGGCAGTTTTTTCGTAAAAAAGTAGGGTAACGTATGGTAAAGTAAAATAAAATATAAGCTGAGAATAACTAAATCTTTATATCATTTTATTATAATTGCTCTATTTCTCTTGGTAACCTTAGTTGATGTTATTTGAGTTTTTGCAAGATATTATGTAGTGTTTAAAAACGAACAGGAGTGTATTATCAGGTTTAAAAACTCGAGGAGAAGCCGAGAGTTTTTAACCATAATAATACACGACCGCAAGGTTTTTGAACGGTGTCAAAATCTCTGATAAAGATAAACTCTTTCTTGCACTAATATTTAGATTTGGGTAGACTGCTTGCAGTCCGCCTTTTCTCTTAAAATCCGTCTAGTTCTTATCTCATCCAGCACGATTGCAAACCACGACGTTATTATTACAATAAGGGAGCTTTGCCGCTCGAGTCCTTGGGTTTCGCGTGCAGTAACTTTGCAAAGAAAAATAAGAGACTGCTCGCAGTCTAGATTTGGGTTATTTTGGACGAAAAAATTGGACGTAAAATATAGCCGTATCTTTATCAGATATAAAGACACCCATTAAACATTAATTTTTGGTGTTTCTTTATGCATTAGTAAAAAGTTTTTAAATTATTTTTTCTAATATGGTTTCACTTATTTCGGAGTGAAACGTGATCCTTCTATATCTTGCAATTAGCAATTAATTGAATGGAGCTGAGTAAGATGTGAAGAGTAATGCTGATCGAGAAGGATGTTATCCACCTGGCTGAAGGTAGAGGTGGATAACATCTTCCGAGATCTGCATAATTCTTTGCATCCTATGAAATCTGAATTCAATAATTGTTTTATTACTCATTCAAAATGTTTCTAAGTTCTGAACGAGATTACCTCCTCGTAGACTTCTTTCAAACATTTGGCCATTTGCCAGGAGGGTAGCGACTAATGTCCATATACGCAGATACCCTCGTGTGTACAGCTGAAATCTGGAAAAAAAAAATTAATTCACCGAAAGCATTTTTATCGTTAAATGGGATGATTGATAAATCTTTCGCATATTACAATGGTGTATTTGCCCGTCTGAAGGGTAGATGTTTCACCCTTTACTTATAACCTCCTCAATGGCGTCACTGTTTTTTCCTTTTTTCTCCGTAAACACTGTACCCTACCGATAACACTAGAGATGTAAACTACACAACTAACTATTGCGTTTTCCCTCGTATTTATTTACTGAAAATTTCCTGCGGAAGACGCAGGAAATGGCATTTCTGAGACCTAAAATTTGAAACATTTTTTGCGGGAGCATGCCCACAGCCGACCTCCCTAGTTTGCAGTACCTTCAGAGGTCCAACCTTGATTTCCGTGCGTACATCTTCAAAATCTCACGCCACGCCTCTGATTTCCAGTGGTAGTGACACCTCGGGTAAGCCCTGAGTTGTATATCGATTACAGGGTTGTAACCAGACATATGAGACCAGGGATCGACAGCAAAGAATGGGATGGGATCAGGGATCACAGCACCGGCGATTAGGGATCATAAGCCACGGGATCGGGATCAATGGTACTGTAAGGAGGTCAGGGATCCGGTTTTCCGACATAACAACAATGGGATGGGATCAGAGATCACAGCACCGGGGATTAGGGATCATAAGCCATGGGATCGGGATCAGTGGTAATGAAAGGAGATCAGGGGTCCGGTTTTCCCACAAACACCACAAAATCCTGAAATGCGCCATGCAAACCTTAGAAAATTCAGTTGTATTATTGCTGTGACATTTCGATCCGGTACTTAACTGTATGCAATCTGATCTGTTGGACTAGCTTGACTACAAAACGTGAATACTTTCCTTGAATTTAAAGATATGATCTTATGTTGCCTTTTTAGCACATTTTAGCACATTTGGCTCCCTGCTGGTTGACATGTTGACTCAGTTTGTTGGAGCTATACATTAACCCATTGACGCCCGGGACTTTTTACGTTTTCGAGTGATTTTCAACATACAAACAATCCATAGGATTTCGTGACGCCGTGTTTGGAGTTACCAAGGAAAGTGGTGCTGTTCTGATGCACTGATGCTGCTGATGGCTTGAGTTTTATGAAAACGTCATTCTGACGTAAGCCCGTTTCAAACGTCGTGCTACTGCCGTGCCGTACTAAATTGATCGAATTATGTAAATTCAACTTTAGCACCGCAGTGGCGCTACGTTTGAAACCAAGTCGTGCTACTGCCGTGTAGCAGGGCAAGCTTTTGCCGTACTAAATTGATCGAATTATGTAAATTCAACTTTAGCACCGCAGTGGCGCGACGTTTGAAACCAAGTCGTGCTACTGCCGTGTAGCAGGGCAAGCTTTGCTGTGCTACACGGCAGTAGCTCGAATTGGTTTCAAACGTCGCGCTACTGCCGTGCCGAACTCAATTCATAAATAATAAAGACATTAGAATACTTTTAAAAGTTTGCTAAACCGTTTCTTTATTTTTGTGTTTTGTTTTCGGTAACAGCCGTTCTATTCGACTGATTCGACTGAATCAAATTCGACGTCTGAAACCAAGTCATGCTAGTGTCGTGCTGCAGTCGAACTACAGTCGAGCCAGCTTGGCAGGGCAGTAGCACGACGTTTGAAACAGGCCCATCATTGTGCTACGTTGAGCTGTAATAACGGCTGAAGTTTGGTTTGTATGTTATTTTTGGAAGTTTACAGCCATTTTTCATCTTTAATGGCTGCCTGATATGCATTATTGAGCGTGACGGTAGCTAAGAGTCCACTTTCTCAAAGAAGCGAGTAAGGTAATATACTTCGTTTGCGAAATAGGCTTAACGCTCGTGGAACTAGAAAAATGGCCGCTCCGAAATGAAGTAACTTTGGGACTCGAGTACTAACGAATTTCTTGACCTACCACGGCATATTTTGGAAATTGCGACCACTGAGAATCACAACAACCGCGAAATTTCGTGGTAGGTCGGAGTGGCCGTGGACTTAGTATAAGTATGAAAAAAGTGGGGGAAGGATGCAATGCAGTCGTGGTGTTGAAAAGCGAGGCAAGGCCAGGATGCACTAGAGCAAAAAGCTCTAGTTCGGCCCTGGGAAACGAATAAGAACAAAAAAAGCCACTTCTAAGCTAGAATAAGGATTGAATTTTACTGTGAATGTTGACTTTTGGTTTTGCAACGATGATTTCTGTAAAAAACCTGAAGGCAAAAAACGTGATTTTTGTCGTTTTCTGTGACGTCAAAAACGGTCATTTTTGCTATTGTCCAAATTCAAAAGGTAATATTTTGCAAAAAACGCTGACTCTTTTGAGTTTATTGCATTTGGATATTCCAATTTGAAGGACTTTCTACTCATTGCTCACCTGACAGTTGAGGCAATGTTCGCGCGATAGAGAAAGTTGCAATGTTTTAAAGTAGTGTAGTCTTGTACGGCCGGTTTTGGCCGGTACGGCGGTCAATGGGTTAAGGTGACTGAGCTACCGAGATGGTCAAAGTCTTTGACTGCCGAATACGGATTCCGGAAAAAAATTCACGCAGTGGACATTGCCTTTTGCCAGAGCGAATAATTTCCCTGTTTCTAAACTCGCTGCGTGCCCGTCATGAAGCCAGGCTCCCTAAACAATATACTGATTTAACATTAAGATGTCTTGACATGTAGAGAAGTATGCATGACCTTTTTAAGTCCTCTTTCAAAACACTGTCTTTTTGCACTTGGTACTTTATACTTTGTACGTTTTACTGACATTCGTCAAGAGACCATATATGCTCACTTGGCAGCCTTTATAGCAAAATTCCTTGAAGAGAGCAGAAGCGTAGCGTCCATATTGGCCACATCGAGGTTCCTGGGGAGACCGGGTTGAGAGGGTTGTCAAAGTGCATTGTGGGACTGTTTTGGGGGACGAATTTGCCGCCATGTTGACCATGCGTCCCCCAAAACAGTCCGACAACGCACTTTTAGAACCATCTCGACCCGGTCTCCCGC